TGCTTGCCAGAGCGTCAAACGCAGAGGGCCCAGCAGCATCCAGGATGCAAGAACCCGGGTCTCCCAGCGGTGAGTCTGGGGCCACCGTGAGGGCCTGGGAACCGTAGGTGGGATCTTGTGGTGGGGGATGGAGACCCCTGGGCATCCAGGCCGGGGCCAGCTTCTCTGTCAGGCTTAGTGCGTTTTGGGGGGGTGGGACGACACTGTCGGGGTGAGGGCCGCGGGAGGGGAAGCCTGGGTGAGTCTGAGGGCCCCGCCTTGCCTGGCTGTGGGCCCCGCCAAAAAGAACACGGGCGCTGGCCCCAGGCTCTTTTGGGAGATGCGGACGCCGAGCCCTAGAGAGGCGGGTGGCCCGGGCGGGCAGGTGCCGGGTCGGGGCCCCTGGGCCACATGCCATGCGCCCACGCACAAGCCCTGTTCCCCCCCACCCCCGCCCTCAAGCCCGAAGCCCCCACCTGCTCACAGGTGTGTGGCCCAGGCCCGTTGGGCTGGGGACAGTCCTTGGAGCTCCTCTGACTCCCTTTCCGCCTTCTTCCAGGCTCCGGGCTGTCCCCGAGCGCCCCGAGGAAGAGGAGGCGGCGGCCGCGCACGGTGTTCAGCGCAGAACAGCTGCGGGTCCTGGAGACATTCTTTAAGGGGAAACCCTATGGGACCTTTGATGAACGCGAGGCCCTGGCGGCCATGCTGGATCTGCAGGAGTATCAAGTTCAGGTACATGCCCGACCCCAACCCCAACCCCGACATCACCCCATCCGCTCCCACTGCCTGCTGCCCGCCCACTATCCCAATCCATGCCCTACCACCGTGCGGAAGGGGGGTGAGGGTTGGGGGCGCTGGGGGGGGGGGGTTAGGGGGAAGGGAGAGGGCGGAAATAGAAGGGCGTGGGAAGCGGGAGCCCAGGCCAGAAGGACCTAGCGCTGCCCAGGGTCACCCGTGTGGTCCGGGGCCTGGCCCCCGAGTCCAGCTCTGCCCTGTGTGGGACAAACTGGCCAACACGATACAGCCCCTCGCTTCTCCCCACGTTCGCCCCCAGACCGCCGGGCCTCTGGGAACACGGGGACCCTCTCAAGCAGACCCCTTCCCTGTTTCTGGGAGTCCAAGCCCTGCCCCTCCTGCTCTTTGCGCCTCTTCCGGAGCCCACCCCAACCCGGGGCCAATTGTGGGATCTGGGAGCGGAGGGAGAGGTGTTAGGCAGGCCCTTCTTCCCTGAGCCTCCTCACCCCCTGGCGGGCGATCGCAGGTGTGTGCACACAGAGCTTCTCCCCTCTCACACTTGCTCCCGTTCCGTTCCGTTCCGTTCCGTTCCGTTCCCTCTCTCCCTAGGTGTGGCTCAAGAACCGCAGGGCCAAAGAGCGCAGGCTGCAGAGACCACCGCGCGGGCACAAAAGCCCTGGAGCCCAGCACGCTTTGCCCCAGGAACCAGGAGCCTGCGCCCCTCAGCCCGCGCCTGCGCCTGCGCCTGCGCCTGCGCCTGCGCCTGCGGACCCTGCCTTCCAGGAGGGCCTTGTGCTCCCTGCCAGCCCCGTGCTCCCTCCGCACAGCCCCTGGCAAGTCTTCCCAGCAGCAGATGCCAGCGCCTCCAGCTACAGCCAGGCCTGCTGGCACCCCGCCCAGGGCGTCCGGGACATGGTCCCCGCTGCACCTGCACCTGCACCTGCACCTGCTGCCGCTCCCGCTCCCGCTCCAGATCCAGCTCCAGCCGAGGCCACAGTCTGGCCTCAGGTCCCGGATGATGAAGTCAATGACGAAGACGACGCCGAAGCCGCACGGAATGCCTCCCCAGACCCTGACTTCACAGAGCTGCTCTCTGCCCTAGAGGGCTTGGAGGAGCCCTTCTCCTCCCCCAGGCCCTGGTATGTATGACTTTGTGGGCGACAGCGGCGTGGACCTGTTCCAGTTGCCGGATCTCCAAGGGCTTCCGACCCCGCCAAGTCCTGCAGATGCCACGGCACCCTAGGCGACCCGGGTGTGCGCCCACGCGGGGCCGGGCGGGCGCCAGAAGCGCTGGGCAGTGCGTCTTGGCCGCCAGTTGCTCTAAGCATCCACCTTGCCCCCAACTGCGCATGCGCGTGGTGCCGTGGACAGGGGGGCAGGAGTCCCGAGGGCTGCACCTCCCTCGCCCAGGCTGCCCCCATTAGGAACTGCTGACAGAACTTTCCAAGGGACCCGGCCCAGCCTCCATGCTCCTCCTGGCAGCGCGCCGTGGCACCCAGAGGACCGGGATAGCTTCTCCTGTCTGCACATCTGTGGCTCCTGGCTGCCTTGTGCTTCTCCTAGGCATTCCCTGCACTCGCACAATGGACCCCCTTCCCGCGGCAAAATTGGACACCAGGAGGACGCCTCACGTGGTGTTTGGGCTTTTATTGTAATGATGACATGCAGAGAGGGCTCCTTTTTCTTCATTAACTGCAGTTGACTCTATTTCCTGGCAATGAAGTGTCACAAACATTTGTCCGGTCTGAATTTTTTTCAATCGGTAGAATTTCTGGATTTTAATGACTATTTCAGTGCTTCCCATTGCCTTTTAATAATCTGTTTGTCCTTTCCATCTGTGACAACCTGATGCTGTAAAACCGAATGAATTTATTAATAAAAGATAAAAATGATGTTGATGAGGTGGTTTATTTTCAAATTGACATAAAACTCTACAGAACCCCCCCCCCCCCCCCCCCCCCCGTCCACCACTGTCTCTTCTTTCCCGGTTGTAAACTGTCCTCTAATACATCTAGCAGTGAACGTGTGTGGTGTGAGGTGGGGCTTTAGCTTCCGGGTGGTTTGGGCGGCTGTGTGTGTGTGTGTGTGTGTGTGTGTGTGAGTGTGTCCCTCTTCCTTTCCTGCAAATTTTCAACCTCCGCTTTATGGGGAGGCTGGTAATTTGTCATAAGTTAAGGGTCCAGGTAGCCACACACCAGGAAGTACACAAGAAATAAGAGAAAGGAATTCAAACATAACACTGCAGAAAGTCCTCAACATGTTGGACAAGAGAGCGGTGTCATACAAAAAGAAAAGAAAAAAAGGGAGGGGAGGGGGAAGAAGAACAGAGGACTCTAAGGCAATCAGCAACCGAAACGATGACAAGAACACCTAAGTAGCAATAATCTCCTTACATGTAAATGGCGGAAAAGCTCCCACTGAGATACAAGTGGGGCCCTACCGGTGTGGCTCAGTAGGTTAGAGCATCGTGTCAGGGATTGGAAAGCTGAGGGCTCCATTCTGGATCAAAGGAGTCCTGGTCACGGGCACACACCTGATTGCGAGTTCTAGCCCTGGCTCTGGTCAGGGTGCTTTTGGGAGGCAATCAATCCATGTTTCTCTCACATCTCTCTCTGTCTCTGTCTCTGTCTTTGTCTCTCTGTCTCTCTGTCTCTCTCTCTCTCTCTCTCTCTCTCTCTCTCTCTCTCCCGCTCTCTCTGTCTCAGCAAAAAGTAACAACATTTCTTTAAAACGTTCATAAAATGTAAAGAAACCGACTTTTGCTCCACCACCGGTGCCCTACTCGTGGTCTTTGGCTGAGGGAGCTGTACAGATATCAACAAGTCTGTCTCATAGAGCAGCCCACACTCCAAGGCAAAGAAAGGCCCGGTTCCCAATCCTCTCCCCCAAAGACAAGCCTGGCCCCTCTTCTCAGCTTTGCCCATCCAATCAGCAGCATGTGACACCTACTATTTTGCTTGTAACACCCCGTTTTTCCTTTAGACGTCATGGGGAAGGGAACCTCTGGACACAATGTATAAAAGAAGAAATCGGTTGGGTTGTCCCTTGGGGACATCAGGGCCATCCACTGTCGTGGTGACCAACGTGCTCGCAGGAAAGCAGAAATCACGGCCAGTTAGGGGAGACCCCACCCTGGGATGGGGCGAGGCAGTTCAGAAGGTGAACTGAGTCTGGCAATGACATCTCACACTTTCCTTTCCTTTAGCATTTCATCACCCAGGTCACTGTCTCTCCTGTGGATTCTAATAAAAGTCCCCTGGGGGCAGTCCTCTTAAGGGCAGGATCGACGCTGTCTGTCCATTGAGGTCTCCCAGCTCCGGGGACGTGCAGCGGGTGCAGTAGCTGCTCCATCAAAGGACTAAGCAACGATTTCGCCTCCCCGCGCACCCTGCCCCCAGGCCCTACACACCACGCGCGCGCGCCCACACACACACACACACACACACACACACACACACACACACACACACACTCACACGCACGCGCACGCACGCACACGTAAACACACAGCTGCACAAAGGGCGGGGCCTGAGGGAAGAGCCCCATAGGTTGTGACGGGTGGGTGGCGAGGGCCTACCACGAATTTAAGGAGGCGATCACAGGGCTGCTTGCCAGAGCGTCAAACGCAGAGGGCCCAGCAGCATCCAGGATGCAAGAACCCGGGTCTCCCAGCGGTGAGTCTGGGGCCACCGTGAGGGCCTGGGAACCGTAGGTGGGATCTTGTGGTGGGGGATGGAGACCCCTGGGCATCCAGGCCGGGGCCAGCTTCTCTGTCAGGCTTAGTGCGTTTTGGGGGGGTGGGACGACACTGTCGGGGTGAGGGCCGCGGGAGGGGAAGCCTGGGTGAGTCTGAGGGCCCCGCCTTGCCTGGCTGTGGGCCCCGCCAAAAAGAACACGGGCGCTGGCCCCAGGCTCTTTTGGGAGATGCGGACGCCGAGCCCTAGAGAGGCGGGTGGCCCGGGCGGGCAGGTGCCGGGTCGGGGCCCCTGGGCCACATGCCATGCGCCCACGCACAAGCCCTGTTCCCCCCCACCCCCGCCCTCAAGCCCGAAGCCCCCACCTGCTCACAGGTGTGTGGCCCAGGCCCGTTGGGCTGGGGACAGTCCTTGGAGCTCCTCTGACTCCCTTTCCGCCTTCTTCCAGGCTCCGGGCTGTCCCCGAGCGCCCCGAGGAAGAGGAAGCGGCGGCCACGCACGGTGTTCAGCGCAGAACAGCTGCGGGTCCTGGAGACATTCTTTAAGGGGAAACCCTATGGGACCTTTGATGAACGCGAGGCCCTGGCGGCCATGCTGGATCTGCAGGAGTATCAAGTTCAGGTACATGCCCGACCCCAACCCCAACCCCGACATCACCCCATCCGCTCCCACTGCCTGCTGCCCGCCCACTATCCCAATCCATGCCCTACCACCGTGCGGAAGGGGGGTGAGGGTTGGGGGCGCTGGGGGGGGCGGTTAGGGGGAAGGGAGAGGGCGGAAATAGAAGGGCGTGGGAAGCGGGAGACCAGGCCAGAAGGACCTAGCGCTGCCCAGGGTCACCCGTGTGGTCCGGGGCCTGGCCCCCGAGTCCAGCTCTGCCCTGTGTGGGACAAACTGGCCAACACGATACAGCCCCTCGCTTCTCCCCACGTTCGCCCCCAGACCGCCGGGCCTCTGGGAACACGGGGACCCTCTCAAGCAGACCCCTTCCCTGTTTCTGGGAGTCCAAGCCCTGCCCCTCCTGCTCTTTGCGCCTCTTCCGGAGCCCACCCCAACCCGGGGCCAATTGTGGGATCTGGGGGCGGAGGGAGAGGTGTTAGGCAGGCCCTTCTTCCCTGAGCCTCCTCACCCCCTGGCGGGCGATCGCAGGTGTGTGCACACAGAGCTTCTCCCCTCTCACACTTGCTCCCGTTCCGTTCCGTTCCGTTCCGTTCCCTCTCTCCCTAGGTGTGGCTCAAGAACCGCAGGGCCAAAGAGCGCAGGCTGCAGAGACCACCGCGCGGGCACAAAAGCCCTGGAGCCCAGCACGCTTTGCCCCAGGAACCAGGAGCCTGCGCCCCTCAGCCCGCGCCTGCGCCTGCGCCTGCGCCTGCGCCTGCGCCTGCGGACCCTGCCTTCCAGGAGGGCCTTGTGCTCCCTGCCAGCCCCGTGCTCCCTCCGCACAGCCCCTGGCAAGTCTTCCCAGCAGCAGATGCCAGCGCCTCCAGCTACAGCCAGGCCTGCTGGCACCCCGCCCAGGGCGTCCGGGACATGGTCCCCGCTGCACCTGCACCTGCACCTGCACCTGCTGCCGCTCCCGCTCCCGCTCCAGATCCAGCTCCAGCCGAGGCCACAGTCTGGCCTCAGGTCCCGGATGATGAAGTCAATGACGAAGACGACGCCGAAGCCGCACGGAATGCCTCCCCAGACCCTGACTTCACAGAGCTGCTCTCTGCCCTAGAGGGCTTGGAGGAGCCCTTCTCCTCCCCCAGGCCCTGGTATGTATGACTTTGTGGGCGACAGCGGCGTGGACCTGTTCCAGTTGCCGGATCTCCAAGGGCTTCCGACCCCGCCAAGTCCTGCAGATGCCACGGCACCCTAGGCGACCCGGGTGTGCGCCCACGCGGGGCCGGGCGGGCGCCAGAAGCGCTGGGCAGTGCGTCTTGGCCGCCAGTTGCTCTAAGCATCCACCTTGCCCCCAACTGCGCATGCGCGTGGTGCCGTGGACAGGGGGGCAGGAGTCCCGAGGGCTGCACCTCCCTCGCCCAGGCTGCCCCCATTAGGAACTGCTGCCAGAACTTTCCAAGGGACCCGGCCCAGCCTCCATGCTCCTCCTGGCAGCGCGCCGTGGCACCCAGAGGACCGGGATAGCTTCTCCTGTCTGCACATCTGTGGCTCCTGGCTGCCTTGTGCTTCTCCTAGGCATTCCCTGCACTCGCACAATGGACCCCCTTCCCGCGGCAAAATTGGACACCAGGAGGACGCCTCACGTGGTGTTTGGGCTTTTATTGTAATGATGACATGCAGAGAGGGCTCCTTTTTCTTCATTAACTGCAGTTGACTCTATTTCCTGGCAATGAAGTGTCACAAACATTTGTCCGGTCTGAATTTTTTTCAATCGGTAGAATTTCTGGATTTTAATGACTATTTCAGTGCTTCCCATTGCCTTTTAATAATCTGTTTGTCCTTTCCATCTGTGACAACCTGATGCTGTAAAACCGAATGAATTTATTAATAAAAGTTAAAAATGATGTTGATGAGGTGGTTTATTTTCAAATTGACATAAAACTCTACAGAACCCCCCCCCCCCCGTCCACCACTGTCTCTTCTTTCCCGGTTGTAAACTGTCCTCTAATACATCTAGCAGTGAACGTGTGTGGTGTGAGGTGGGGCTTTAGCTTCCGGGTGGTTTGGGCGGCTGTGTGTGTGTGTGTGTGTGTGTGTGAGTGTGTCCCTCTTCCTTTCCTGCAAATTTTCAACCTCCGCTTTATGGGGAGGCTGGTAATTTGTCATAAGTTAAGGGTCCAGGTAGCCACACACCAGGAAGTACACAAGAAATAAGAGAAAGGAATTCAAACATAGCACTGCAGAAAGTCCTCAACATGTTGGACAAGAGAGCGGTGTCATACAAAATGAAAAGAAAAAAAGGGAGGGGAGGGGGAAGAAGAACAGAGGACTCTAAGGCAATCAGCAACCGAAACAATGACAAGAACACCTAAGTAGCAATAATCTCCTTACATGTAAATGGCGGAAAAGCTCCCACTGAGATACAAGTGGGGCCCTACCGGTGTGGCTCAGTAGGTTAGAGCATCGTGTCAGGGATTGGAAAGCTGAGGGCTCCATTCTGGATCAAAGGAGTCCTGGTCACGGGCACACACCTGATTGCGAGTTCTAGCCCTGGCTCTGGTCAGGGTGCTTTTGGGAGGCAATCAATCCATGTTTCTCTCACATCTCTCTCTGTCTCTGTCTCTGTCTTTGTCTCTCTGTCTCTCTGTCTCTCTGTCTCTCTCTCTCTCTCTCTCTCTCTCTCTCTCTCCCGCTCTCTCTGTCTCAGCAAAAAGTAACAACATTTCTTTAAAACGTTCATAAAATGTAAAGAAACCGACTTTTGCTCCACCACCGGTGCCCTACTCGTGGTCTTTGGCTGAGGGAGCTGTACAGATATCAACAAGTCTGTCTCATAGAGCAGCCCACACTCCAAGGCAAAGAAAGGCCCGGTTCCCAATCCTCTCCCCCAAAGACAAGCCTGGCCCCTCTTCTCAGCTTTGCCCATCCAATCAGCAGCATGTGACACCTACTATTTTGCTTGTAACACCCCGTTTTTCCTTTAGACGTCATGGGGAAGGGAACCTCTGGACACAATGTATAAAAGAAGAAATCGGTTGGGTTGTCCCTTGGGGACATCAGGGCCATCCACTGTCGTGGTGACCAACGTGCTCGCAGGAAAGCAGAAATCACGGCCAGTTAGGGGAGACCCCACCCTGGGATGGGGCGAGGCAGTTCAGAAGGTGAACTGAGTCTGGCAATGACATCTCACACTTTCCTTTCCTTTAGCATTTCATCACCCAGGTCACTGTCTCTCCTGTGGATTCTAATAAAAGTCCCCTGGGGGCAGTCCTCTTAAGGGCAGGATCAACGCTGTCTGTCCATTGAGGTCTCCCAGCTCCGGGGACGTGCAGCGGGTGCAGTAGCTGCTCCATCAAAGGACTAAGCAACGATTTCGCCTCCCCGCGCACCCTGCCCCCAGGCCCTACACACCACGCGCGCGCGCCCACACACACACACACACACACACACACACACACACACACACACTCACGCGCACGCGCACGCACGCACACGTAAACACACAGCTGCACAAAGGGCGGGGCCTGAGGGAAGAGCCCCATAGGTTGTGACGGGTGGGTGGCGAGGGCCTACCACGAATTTAAGGAGGCGATCACAGGGCTGCTTGCCAGAGCGTCAAACGCAGAGGGCCCAGCAGCATCCAGGATGCAAGAACCCGGGTCTCCCAGCGGTGAGTCTGGGGCCACCGTGAGGGCCTGGGAACCGTAGGTGGGATCTTGTGGTGGGGGATGGAGACCCCTGGGCATCCAGGCCGGGGCCAGCTTCTCTGTCAGGCTTAGTGCGTTTTGGGGGGGTGGGACGACACTGTCGGGGTGAGGGCCGCGGGAGGGGAAGCCTGGGTGAGTCTGAGGGCCCCGCCTTGCCTGGCTGTGGGCCCCGCCAAAAAGAACACGGGCGCTGGCCCCAGGCTCTTTTGGGAGATGCGGACGCCGAGCCCTAGAGAGGCGGGTGGCCCAGGCGGGCAGGTGCCGGGTCGGGGCCCCTGGGCCACATGCCATGCGCCCACGCACAAGCCCTGTTCCCCCCCACCCCCGCCCTCAAGCCCGAAGCCCCCACCTGCTCACAGGTGTGTGGCCCAGGCCCGTTGGGCTGGGGACAGTCCTTGGAGCTCCTCTGACTCCCTTTCCGCCTTCTTCCAGGCTCCGGGCTGTCCCCGAGCGCCCCGAGGAAGAGGAGGCGGCGGCCGCGCACGGTGTTCAGCGCAGAACAGCTGCGGGTCCTGGAGACATTCTTTAAGGGGAAACCCTATGGGACCTTTGATGAACGCGAGGCCCTGGCGGCCATGCTGGATCTGCAGGAGTATCAAGTTCAGGTACATGCCCGACCCCAACCCCAACCCCGACATCACCCCATCCGCTCCCACTGCCTGCTGCCCGCCCACTATCCCAATCCATGCCCTACCACCGTGCGGAAGGGGGGTGAGGGTTGGGGGCGCTGGGGGGGGCGGTTAGGGGGAAGGGAGAGGGCGGAAATAGAAGGGCGTGGGAAGCGGGAGACCAGGCCAGAAGGACCTAGCGCTGCCCAGGGTCACCCGTGTGGTCCGGGGCCTGGCCCCCGAGTCCAGCTCTGCCCTGTGTGGGACAAACTGGCCAACACGATACAGCCCCTCGCTTCTCCCCACGTTCGCCCCCAGACCGCCGGGCCTCTGGGAACACGGGGACCCTCTCAAGCAGACCCCTTCCCTGTTTCTGGGAGTCCAAGCCCTGCCCCTCCTGCTCTTTGCGCCTCTTCCGGAGCCCACCCCAACCCGGGGCCAATTGTGGGATCTGGGGGCGGAGGGAGAGGTGTTAGGCAGGCCCTTCTTCCCTGAGCCTCCTCACCCCCTGGCGGGCGATCGCAGGTGTGTGCACACAGAGCTTCTCCCCTCTCACACTTGCTCCCGTTCCGTTCCGTTCCGTTCCGTTCCCTCTCTCCCTAGGTGTGGCTCAAGAACCGCAGGGCCAAAGAGCGCAGGCTGCAGAGACCACCGCGCGGGCACAAAAGCCCTGGAGCCCAGCACGCTTTGCCCCAGGAACCAGGAGCCTGCACCCCTCAGCCCGCGCCTGCGCCTGCGCCTGCGCCTGCGGACCCTGCCTTCCAGGAGGGCCTTGTGCTCCCTGCCAGCCCCGTGCTCCCTCCGCACAGCCCCTGGCAAGTCTTCCCAGCAGCAGATGCCAGCGCCTCCAGCTACAGCCAGGCCTGCTGGCACCCCGCCCAGGGCGTCCGGGACATGGTCCCCGCTGCACCTGCACCTGCACCTGCACCTGCTGCCGCTCCCGCTCCCGCTCCAGATCCAGCTCCAGCCGAGGCCACAGTCTGGCCTCAGGTCCCGGATGATGAAGTCAATGACGAAGACGACGCCGAAGCCGCACGGAATGCCTCCCCAGACCCTGACTTCACAGAGCTGCTCTCTGCCCTAGAAGGCTTGGAGGAGCCCTTCTCCTCCCCCAGGCCCTGGTATGTATGACTTTGTGGGCGACAGCGGCGTGGACCTGTTCCAGTTGCCGGATCTCCAAGGGCTTCCGACCCCGCCAAGTCCTGCAGATGCCACGGCACCCTAGGCGACCCGGGTGTGCGCCCACGCGGGGCCGGGCGGGCGCCAGAAGCGCTGGGCAGTGCGTCTTGGCCGCCAGTTGCTCTAAGCATCCACCTTGCCCCCAACTGCGCATGCGCGTGGTGCCGTGGACAGGGGGGCAGGAGTCCCGAGGGCTGCACCTCCCTCGCCCAGGCTGCCCCCATTAGGAACTGCTGCCAGAACTTTCCAAGGGACCCGGCCCAGCCTCCATGCTCCTCCTGGCAGCGCGCCGTGGCACCCAGAGGACCGGGATAGCTTCTCCTGTCTGCACATCTGTGGCTCCTGGCTGCCTTGTGCTTCTCCTAGGCATTCCCTGCACTCGCACAATGGACCCCCTTCCCGCGGCAAAATTGGACACCAGGAGGACGCCTCACGTGGTGTTTGGGCTTTTATTGTAATGATGACATGCAGAGAGGGCTCCTTTTTCTTCATTAACTGCAGTTGACTCTATTTCCTGGCAATGAAGTGTCACAAACATTTGTCCGGTCTGAATTTTTTTCAATCGGTAGAATTTCTGGATTTTAATGACTATTTCAGTGCTTCCCATTGCCTTTTAATAATCTGTTTGTCCTTTCCATCTGTGACAACCTGATGCTGTAAAACCGAA